CAGTGGTCCCCAACCTTTTTATCACTGCGGACCGGTCAACGCTTGACAATTTTACCGTGGCCCGGGGGAGGGTACGTATATTGTTACTATAACAATAAACGTGAATCCACTGTGTTGACATTTTTAACTCCCCATAACGCTAAATCAATGGGAGCCCTGAGCCCAATTTCAGTGCTGTGGTTTGCGATCTCAGGGTATTCTGTCATGACTTTAATCCAGAACACCGACAGAGTTGTTGTCTCGAACATACTTTTAAGGCCGTCGTCATTTGCGATCTCCAGCAGTTGATCTTCTTCTTGCACAGACCTGCTGGATTCACCTGGTTTGTTGACAAATGGGTTGCGGATCCATTCCTTGTTAGTTCGTGGGTCCTTTGTGGTTGGGGAGTAGCGCTCGAACTCTTTTAAAAGCAAAGACATGTGATCGTGCACCAGCTGGGAGAATGAAGGCTCAGGCTCAGTCTCACCCAAAATCCCCGCTAATGTTTGAAACATGTCCAAAATGCCTCTGTTGACGCGCCGTCCCCACAAATCCAGTTTGGCTTTAAATGCAGCTACTTTATCTGCCAACTTGAAGACAGTTGTCATTTTCCCCTGAAGTGACAGATTGAGTTCATTGAGCAGGCTGAATATGTCCACAAGTAAGCCAGTTTTGGCGCTCAAGTGACCGAGATGTAACCGAGAGAATGCGGTCATTTTTCAAAATAAAAGATCGTTCAGACCCAGATAACAAATAAAACGGAAATAATTAATGATTTCTTGTGCGGCCCGGTACCAATTGATCCACGGACCGGTACCGGACCACTGCACTAGCCTACCAGGGACGGTTACCTCAACAATAAACATATAATTGAATTTATACATTTATGGCAATTTCACCAAAAACTGGAACACTTTGAACTTCATAAACGGATGTTAAGGCAAAAATGGCTGCATTGAATTGCATACAATTGTACTAGTGTACCTAATAAAGTGGTCAGTGAGTGTATGTTACATTATGTTATGGTGAATCATTCACTAGTACATAAATTATACATACACTGTGTATAAATGTCCATTCTCCTGTTTAACAATTTAGTTCAGTTTGTAGAAGAAAATCTTGAAGTACAACATGCATGTCAGTGCAAGTTAAGGCTTGCTGTGGAAAAACTATCTTTTAAAGCTCAGTGAGTGTAAAATAAATACTTAACATCAATTCTGAAAGTTATTACATATTTATTCCTGCAGGAAGGAGTGTTCTCTGAACAGTGTCTAAACCAATCTGTTGCAAAGAAGCTCAATGAACAGAATGTGACTGCCCTTCTTATACTCAGCATACAACAACAGAAAACAAATGCTCAAACAAATAAAGGAAACAGAATACTGGTTAAAACAGAATACATGTTATCTAGTTCAGCATTCACACAAAGGCATGCTATTCACTACAAACATGCTGATACAGTCAACTGTCTAGTGGCACAAGCACACAAATAACTGCATACCATGACTTGAAAGCATCAGCTAATAAACTTAAATAGTGCTATAATAAAAAACTCCACTACAGGCTATAGGCTACATTATGTGTGTAGAATAAAATGTGCTGGTAAGTGCTACAATACTCAACGCCAGCAGTTACTATTATGGAATAGAGTACTTAAACTGTTACTTAGTGGCCCTAACAACAACAGAGTCCAGGCAAACCTTGACCCAACTACGAGTACCAAACACTCTAGATGCACATTGCGTCGCCTGTCGTCCCGTTGTCCAATCAAATCAGTCATGCACGGGGCTGGAGCTGCTACAGCCAATAGGGATCCAGGGTGCCTTCCGATAAAAACCGAGCCATCATATACTTGTCCCTCCCTCTCTGCCTTCCTCTGTCCACCAGGCAGCGGCTGCCGTCAACCTAAACGGAAAAAGTCACACACACAAATAGCAGCTATGTCGGAAAAACTTCCCTACAAAGTTGGTCAGTGTCAAAGTTTATCATTTTAACTGTGGTTGTAAGTACAATTTTGTGAAGTAGGTTTGCGGTTTGCCGTTTAATTTGTGGTATGTGCAGGTGAAGTAATGTATTTTCCAGCAGCCGCATTTAACGTTAGCCTAAAAAGCAAAGCCTGCAATAAAAGAAGTGTAGTCAGATGTTTAAGATTGATTTGTTACTGTTCCAAGGCTAATTGACTAAATAATATTGAATAATGAGCTAGCTACTGTTCCAAGGCTAATTGACTAAATAGTATTGAATAATGAGCTAGCTCTCTCCTTTCTCCGTTGTTGCTACCTTGCTAGCATGTAGCACGATGTTGTTAGTTATTTAGCTAACATCGTGTTTAGGATGTTTATTATCAGTTAGTCATGTTGGCGTATAACTTGTAAATTTCCTGTTTCCGACACTCTCACTTTGCGGCTTTCGATTCAAAACTACGAATGAATCAACCTGTAACTCTCGTACTAACGCCGAACACGGACTTTACTGTGAATCAAAACGCATCCACAGACTCTGGGTTTTGTAGTTTATTGGTGCAGTCGCTTGTTGGTTCGGGCTTTGTTTGCAAACTACAGTTCCCGTGGTGTCTCGCGCCTCACCGCCAGTTTCTGCCTGAGTGACAAGAGCAGGCAGTGTGAGCTGCACTGTAGCTAAACTCTGTGTTGTAATGCTGAGACTACACGTGGTGTCCCATTGCAGCAGTTTTGAGAGCTAAATGCTTTTGATTAAATGTAATGATTTAGAAAAAGGTTTCTTTAATTGGTTTCAGAAACCATACCAGGAGAAAAGCTCTAAAAATACAAAGGAACAGACGTTGTAATAACTCTTCATTGTTAAATAAGAAATACACTAGGAAAAGGTTGCATTTATTTGAAAATGTCAGGAAATACAATGAACATGTTAGGGTTATTTCATTAGAATAACAGCAAAACTGACTTGTCTACCAAAGTTGTTTGTTCACCTGCTGCACCTGAGTGCAGATTTCTATGTGTGAAGAAGAAGTTACACAATATCCTGCTTACACAAAGCTCTAGAGCGAAGTCTACACCTTTCTGATTGACTGCTCGTAATCACATGGCAGATTTCAACTGGGTGAATCCATGAGGTTTTGTCTTGCAGTATCACTGTTTTTACTACAGTGAGTGCAATGAAATGTACATTGTGATGCTTTAGGTTAGTGGCTTTGCAGCAGGCTTTAGAAAGACGGATAATCAGTATAGCGTTGTATTAAAATTCACTTTTGTTGATACACCAGCTAGTGCTGGAATGTTTTTCCTTTAAAGCTGAGCACTGACTTTTATTAGCATTAATTAGTCAATAACTTGGTCAAGCAAAAAAAGTTTTTGATCACTGAGTCACCTTTCAAACAAATTGTCAAACATTTGCTGTTTTTTCACTTCTCAAATGTAAGTACGTTGTGTGTTTTGTGGCTTATATATGGTAGTTAAATGAGTTGACATTGTGCTGCTGGTCACACAAGTCATTTTTTTACAGTTTTGTGATGTTGTATAGGTGATTCTTTGAGAAATAGATTAATCCATAATAGTCCTAGGACTTGTTACATTCTTCTCTTTTTTTTTTTGTGAATTCTTGAATTAAATTTCTCAAGCTTGCTATCTAACTCTTAAAGCTTTGGTTTGAGCGGAGAAAGAAGATCTGAGTTTTATATGCAGGCTTGCCTTTATCCTTTGCTCCAGTGACTGGGCTGATTTGAACTGTTGGTGCAAAGTTGAGCTGGGTCACCAGGGCACTCGTACCTGTTGCAGTAAACTACAATATGACTGTGGATAACTGTATTCCAGATGTACTGTACTGTAGCTTTGAACGTGATTTGCGCGTCGGCTCCTCCCAGAGCCATTTCCCTGTTCATGTCCCATATAAAAGATAATGGCTAACTCCAGTGAGTGGAGTTTGTTTAGTCACTATGTTGACATCAGTGTAAATTTGTTCCTAATCCTCTCACTGGCCTGTCATTCAGCCAACAGCCGGTTCAGTGCAGTTACTATGCTTCATATCCTGTTCAGTCACAATGCTTCATTTTGTCCAAGTTTAGAGATTTGTGGTTTTAATACTGTACTGATAATATCCAGATCTCATATTTGTCTTCCCAGGAAACTAGTTGGCACCTAGATAACTTGGCTTAATTTGCTCAAAAATTGGTGTCTGGAACTACAAAGTTGCACAGTCTTAACTAAAAGCCAAGTTCTGCATCCTAGTTCTACAATACAATGGATTTCACACTATTTGGAGTTTCTGAATTGTGACTGATGGGCTGTTTGTCAGCACTTTATCCAACTTGTAAAAACACTACCTTGCAATTACTTTTTTTTTTTTTAACGCTTACTCTGTTAGTCCCACTGTTCCTTTGGTACAGTGTCTACATTTGTGGCTACAGTTTTGCAGAGAGGGACGAGGTGCTACTGAAGGAAAAAGAGGTGAAAATGAGGAATTCAGTGTTGTGGTTTGGTGAGCTGTCCACTCAAAATCCTTTAGCTTTATCCATCGAAGCTTTTGTTAGCAAAGTTTTATGTCAGACCACATTGTTAGGTATTTTTAGTCAGATAGAAATTGGATATTAGAAATGTTTAGTGGAGATAGGATGTCTAGTTAGACTGTTAAATGCTTAGTCATGCTTATGAGTTTCTACAGGGTACATCTGGTCAAGGATAACTAGAGAGAAGAGTTGATGACTGTCAGCAGACAGGGTGTTTAATATTATTATTATGACGTGTATAACTGTAGCCTTAGCCATAATATGTTCTTATGTTTAAGTCACGACATGTTACTAGAGGTCGTGAGAATGTTTTTAGCTACACACCACTTAATCAGCAGACACACACACATGCACATTGATTTGCTTCATGTTTTGACTACTGCTATGACCAGCTGCAAAGCTGGTGAGAGAGGTCTCGGGTGACGTTTCTGTGTAGTATGGGGCTAGCCCAACCGAGGGGATATAATGTATAGGCCTGGTGGGTTCAGGGTCTTTCATCTTACATCTGCCTGCGTGCATGTTGGAGGTGCAAGATACCTGAGCGTGTAATGTTAATTTTTACCTGTATTCATGGAATAAATCAGTACCAGTTTGAAGTTACTTGGACTGTCTCGTCTCTCAGAGTTAGCATGGTAAGAAGAACCACAGTCCTTCAACATACAATGTTAGTTGTTCTGTCATGCACTTGTTCTGGCATGTTTAAGAAAATAATGTTGCAAAGCTCGGCTTATTTGGCTAAAGTGCACAAATCACATCATTTGATTATGGACAAGTTAAAGCCATGGTTACACTTGATGCATTGGAAATTGTGCATACACATTAGGTGCGACTTTACTCATTCTCCTGAGTCGCATTTCATAGATTTGATTTCAGGAGATCATGTTCTCCACTCAGCAGTAAAGCTTAAAACAGCACTTGTCCAGCAGCAACAGTTGTCTGCGTGTGAAAGGCGTGACTGTACAAAGTGCTGACCACGGTACAAAACCCTTGCTGTGTAACAGCTGTGGTTGTGTGACTTTTCCCAGGACGGCAACAGCACAGTTCGCAGGGAGCAGGCCACTCAGTCACATGTTACAAAATGACACGATATTTTACATGCATCAGGAAAATTAAGAAGATGGCTCAAGACTTCTCTATTGAAGCTACAACAGAGTTGGTTGGTTTGCAGAAGACGTTTAACAAAGTGGGACATAAAATGAGTCCTCTTCCGTTTATCAGTTTAAATCCTGTTAAGATTTGTGCAAAGTCCTGAAGAAATCTGGACCTCTTTAGCTCGCGTCTTAGTTTTTGAATTGAAAAGAAAATTAGTGTATCTACAGCCATGGCATATCTTAAACAGGGTTAGAGGTTAAGTCCATCATGAATATAAGGTTTTAGGTGACCAACCTGGCAGCAGAAGAGTGTAGAATCAAGATGTTTGTGGTCACATTTATGAACATCCTGCTGTCTCCACCTGCCCTCTCTCTCCCAGCTGACATCAGCCTGGCCGAATGGGGGCGTAAGGCCATTGAGATTGCAGAGAACGAGATGCCTGGTCTGATGAAGATGAGGGAGATGTACAGTCAGTCCAAGCCTCTCGCGGGCGCCCGTATTGCCGGCTGCCTCCACATGACCCTGCAGACTGCCGTGCTCATCGAGACCCTCACCGCCCTCGGAGCTGAGGTAACATTTACACAGGAGGAGTTTGCTTGTGAAAGTTGAATTGAACTTTTGCTGCATTCTGCTGCAGATAATTGAATTGAACTTTTGCTGCATTCTGCTACAAATAAGTTGATGTACTTTGTCTCAGAATGGATGCAGGTACATTTATTTGTACTTACATTGGCTTCCTGTTCGTTTTCAGATTGATTTTTAAATTGTTTGTCTATAAGGCTGTACATGGTCTGGCACCTTCATATATTTCTGAGCTTGTGCACTTTTATACTCCAGAAAGGACACTTAGGTCTTTGAACCAGTTGTTCCTGGAAGTGCCGAAGTCCAGACGGAAACATTGGGGAGACCGAGCTTTTTCAGTTCGGGCTCCTATACTGTGGAATGGTCTGCCACGGGAGATTAGATCCGCTCCGAACCTGTCTGTTTTTAAATCACTTCTTAAAACGCATTTGTATTCACGGGCCTTCGACAATTTTATTGATTGGTGTATTTGTTTTGACTATGTATTTTTCTTGTTGTTTTACTGTATTGATGTGTTTTATCTGGTCTTAGGTATCTTTATTATTTTATTTGTTTTTACTGGAAAGCACCTTGTAACGCAGGTTTATAACGGTGCTATATAAATAAACTTTGCTTGCTTGCTACTTACCTGTGCCTTTGAATGAATGAGCAAACTCTTAGAAGTAAAAACTAAATGAGAGAGAAGTCCTAATCCTAGATGGGCTGCACTAAACCTGCTCTTTATAAGATGGATTTAGACATGGGAGAGTTTCCACTGAGACCTAGTGATGACATCGGTTGTGGTTTACTGATGATTCAGCTCAGTGTATTTGGACGGCTGTTTCATACCAGGAGCTGCCCAGTGCGACTTCAGCTGTCTTCTGCTTTGCTGAAGTGCATAGGACATGTTTATCAGAGGAAACTGTCTCATTGATTCTGGGCTGTGCTTTCCTCTCCCTCTGTCTTGAGGACTGTGTGTTCTGTTTATCATGTCAGTTTTCTGTTGCCCTCCAGGACTGGTCTGATCCCACAGGAACATGCTGTCTGAGAACAAACAGAATTAATGACCAGCTCTCAGCCTAGGGCTTTTCTGTTGATTTTATTTCTCTGTGGCATTGGTGATGCAAATCTTCACTGCATACTGCCAAAGCTGGTGAACTTTGTCTTTTATATCCTAAAAGGTTGCTTGTCTCTTTCAAACTGTAAAGCTCCTGTGCTGTTATCCATTGTGTGTACTTGACTATGGAGATATTCTGTTGTGCAGCCCCATCGTTACCTCAGCAGCTAAATCCTGTCTGTCCCTTTGTGCTTGATGCTTGATTGCTAATGCAAATTTCCTACTTGCTGTTGGTCCATGGCTACAAGATTAGAGGCACTTCCCTACAGACGGGAAGAAATAATCATCTTATGGTGATCGTTTATAAAGCTTCCTCAACAACTAAACATCCTCACATCTTGTAACATTTAAACCTTAACTACAATATATGATCCAGTAACTGTCACCTTGGATACCTCTTACAGTGCCTTGCGAAAGTATTCGGCCCCCTTGAACTTTGCGACCTTTTGCCACATTTCAGGCTTCAAACATAAAGATATAAAACTGTAATTTTTTGTGAAGAATCAACAACAAGTGGGACACAATCATGAAGTAGAACGAAATTTATTGGATATTTCAAACGTTTTTAACAAATAAAAAACTGAAAAATTGGCCGTGCAAAATTATTCAGCCCCTTTACTTTCAGTGCAGCAAACTCTCTCCAGAAGTTCAGTGAGGATCTCTGAATGATCCAATGTTGACCTAAATGACAAAGGATGATAAATAGAATCCACCTGTGTGGAATCAAGTCTCCATATAAATGCACCTGCACTGTGATAGTCTCAGAGGTCCGTTTAAAGCGCAGAGAGCATCATGAAGAACAAGGAACACACCAGGCAGGTCCGAGATACTGTTGTGGAGAAGTTTAAAGCCGGATTTGGATACAAAAAGATTTCCCAAGCTTTAAACATCCCAAGGAGCACTGTGCAAGCGATAATATTGAAATGGAAGGAGTATCAGACCACTGCAAATCTACCAAGACCTGGCCGTCCCTCTAAACTTTCAGCTCATACAAGGAGAAGACTGATCAGAGATGCAGCCAAGAGGCCCATGATCACTCTGGATGAACTGCAGAGATCTACAGCTGAGGTGGGAGACTCTGTCCATAGGACAACAATCAGTCGTATACTGCACAAATCTGGCCTTTATGGAAGAGTGGCAAGAAGAAAGCCATTTCTTAAAGATATCCATAAAAAGTGTCGTTTAAAGTTTGCCACAAGCCACCTGGGAGACACACCAAACATGTGGAAGAAGGTGCTCTGGTCAGATGAAACCAAAATCGAACTTTTTGGCAACAATGCAAAACGTTATGTTTGGCGTAAAAGCAACACAGCTCATCACCCTGAACACACCATCCCCACTGTGAAACATGGTGGTGGCAGCATCCTGGTTTGGGCCTGCTTTTCTTCAGCAGGGACAGGGAAGATGGTTAAAATTGATGGGAAGATGGCTGGAGCCAAATACAGGACCATTCTGGAAGGAAACCTGATGGAGTCTGCAAAAGACCTGAGACTGGGACGGAGATTTGTCTTCCCACAAGACAATGATCCAAAACATAAAGCCAAATCTACAATGGAATGGTTCACAAATAAACATATCCAGGTGTTAGAATGGCCAAGTCAAAGTCCAGACCTGAATCCAATCGAGAATCTGTGGAAAGAACTGACAACTGCTGTTCACAAACGCTCTCCATCCAATCTCACTGAGCTCGAGCTGTTTTGCAAGGAGGCATGGGCAAAAATTTCAGTCTCTCGATGTGCAAAACTGATAGAGACATACCCCAAGCGACTTACAGCTGTAATCGCAGCAAAAGGTGGCGCTACAAAGTATTAACTTAAGGGGGCTGAATAATTTTGCACGCCCAATTTTTCAGTTTTTTATTTGTTAAAAACGTTTGAAATATCCAACAAATTTCGTTCCACTTCATGATTGTGTCCCACTTGTTGTTGATTCTTCACAAAAAATTACAGTTTTATATTTTTATGTTTGAAGCCTGAAATGTGGCAAAAGGTTGCAAAGTTCAAGGGGGCCGAATACTTTCGCAAGGCACTGTATGTACTCACCAACCTTGGAAGAACCATTCTCGGCACTGCACACCAATTATTGTAAAAGGGATGAATGTCAAACTACCCCCAGTCTTTCATACTTGGAGAATTTAATACTTTGTCTAATTTTTGCAGTACTCAACTGTTTTTGTTTGTCTTAGTAGTTTTTCTTTGTTTCACCATGACTTTCTATTTTTTCCCCTCTTGAAAAAACATCTCAATGATTTAAAGAAATGGTTCATTTTTAATAAAAAAAAATCAGTGTCTGAATGCAGCTGTACAGTACCAGAGTTGATGTGAAATAAATCGGCTTTTTGTATAATTTCCTTTTTAACTTAAAGCACCTGCTGTCTTATTAAAATAAAAGCTGGTACATGCAGCTGGTGAGTCTTCTGATTGCTTTAAGCTGCAGTGGAGAGTTTTGGACACTAGATGGCAGCATGCTGCAGATATGGTTCATACAGTACAATGGCAGTTCAAATCTGAGACACTTTGGTTTGATTCTATGCAACTTCTTAAAAGGAAAAAAACCCATTGTGACCAGCATAGATGAAGCACATTAAGTACAACATAAGAATTTCTCTACTCTGGGTACTGGAATGTCTTTCTCTAGCTCCTGAATTTCTGTCCTCATCCCTCAGGTTCAGTGGTCAAGCTGCAACATCTTCTCCACTCAGGATCATGCTGCTGCCGCCATCGCCAAGTCTGGCATTCCAGGTAACGCGCACACAACCTCTGTGTGCATGCGTTTTATGAATGACCTGATTGTGTGTGTGTGTGTGTGTGTGTGTGTGTGTGTGTGTGTGTGTGTGAGAGAGAGAGAGAGACACAATTTGTTAAAGTTCATGTAGGATCGCATACCCGTAATAGTAACTGTTGGTTTAGGCCCTTAAAAGCTGAACCGGGTCATTTTGGCGGTTGGTTTTGCACTGGATGGTAACTGTTAGAGAAGGGCTGCTGTTATAAAGCTTTACATTAAATACTGCCTTAAGTTTCCACACTTTGTCCAGCTAGAAACATTGCTCCCCAGATATTTGTGTAAAATAATTGAATGCCCCTTGAGGCGTTGCAGTTCAACTCTGTGTTGCAACTGTGTCATAAGGTGGCAAAGAGAAACTGGTGGTAGTCTGCACTGAGACTCTACAAACACACCGAGCTCTCAGAGTGATTCTCACCACCAACATTTTGACTGGTTGCTGCCAGTGGGTTTACATTTTCACTCGAAGGAAGAAACCAATGAGCATTTATTTGCTACCTGTGTCTGTAGTGTATGCTTGGAAAGGTGAGACGGATGAGGAGTACGTGTGGTGCATCGAGCAGACACTGTACTTCAAAGATGGTCAGGCCCTCAACATGATCCTGGATGATGGAGGAGACCTCACCAACCTGGTCCATCAGAAGTACC